ATGAGGTCATACTGAAGTAGGGTGGCCCTTTAATTCAATATGATTCATGCCGTTATAAAACAGAAGAGACACAGAGATACAGACACTTGAATGAAAGCCATGTGAAGTCAGGTGGAGATGGGAGTGATACATCTATAAGCCAAGGATCACCAAAGGGGGCTGCCAACCATGAGAAGCTAGGAAGAGGCAAGAAAGGCAAGAACCTCCACAGAGAACAGAGCCCTGCTAGCAGCTTGAGTTTGGACTTCAGGCTCCAGAACTGTGAGAGAATAAATTTCTACTGTGTTAAGTCCCCTGGTTTGTGGAACTTTGTTACAGCAGCACTAGGTAACTAATACAGTAATCAAAAACCAGCAGTGTATTATTATGGTTAAGTGTACAGGTGCTAGAGCCAGACTGGATGGGTTTAAACTGATTTTCTCACATAACTGCAGTTTTATGCTGGGAAATCTATTTACCCTATCTGTGTCTCAAGTTTTTCATCTGTAAAATAGAGGTTATATCTGAACCTGCCTCATAAAATTCATTGGATATTAAGTGATTCATATTATGCACTTGTCACATAACAATAAACCCTACATGTTATTTATATTAGTCTAATTTTCTAAACCAAGGAAGAGTTCTGTTCCTTCATCAAAGAACACATTATCACTCAAATGAAAAAACAAGGGAAATTCTTTGTTGATTGATTTGTTCATTTAAAATTATTTTAAAATGTGGCAGTCATTTATCCTGAAGTGCAGAGATTCTAGCTGATATTCTCATAGAGTAAGCCAGAGAAAAACAGTGAGAAAAAAATTGATGGATGTATTTTCTTTATACTTTCCCAAAATTGAAAACACAATGGTAAGAATGTTGGAACAAGTTCAACAATCTAGAGTAAGAGCTGGCAAGCAAACTGTTTATGAAAAGGGCCAGGTAGTAAATATTTTAGGACTTGCAGGCCATATGGTCTCTGTCCCAACTACTCAACTATGCTATTATAGCCCAAAAGCCACCACAGGCAATATGTGAATAGATGAGTGTGGCTACGTTTCTAGAAAACTGTATTTACAAAAAGAGGTGGCAGCAAACTTGGCTCACCTGATAATAATGTTTGGACCCCTGGTTTAGAGAAAAGACTATATAGAAGCTCATTTGTCCTCTGATATGAGATGGTTCTACTGAATGTGACTTTCTGTTTGGGAACATTCAGGACACTTACACGCTTGTAGTTAGTTGCATCCCGTCCTCGTTAATAAACTTATACACTGAGTTTTCTTTTTGTATCTTTATGTAAAAGGATGTCACGTGGTATCTTTCATGTGGGCTACAAGTTTCAGCTGCAGCTGAAAGCTAAGGGCAATGATCTCCACACATCCCAGTCTTAGTAACAGCCCCATAAAGCTTTCTAAGAGATGGACTCAACCATTTTCGTGAACCTTACTCCCATCAAGGGAAGTTTGGACACTTCTAAGAGGGACAAGTTTCCTCTGAAATAAGTGTCTAACCTGGTAGGATGATATTCCCCTCCCTCATACACACCCAGTGCTTCCCCCTCCATGTGAGGGAGAAAGATCATGAGGACCACACACATAGAGAGTGTTCTCACTCTCTAGCTGATGATTACCAAGCTGTGTAATGTGGACCTTGGTGACACCATGGAGGCAGGGCAGAAAAATCTGAAAATGTTTCAGTATCTCCTAGAATTTAGGGGGTTATGAGACTACTATTCTCTCTCTCTCTCTCTCCCCTAAAAAGTTGGAGTATACCATTAGCATTGAATGCATAAAAAGAGGTATGCTCTAGGAGTAACCTATACTTGTCATGAACAGTGCAGCAAGTATGTGTACTTCCTATGGGCCAAGAGGGCCACTTTCAGGGCAAATGGATCACAGTAGGAAAAAGGTGTGTGGACTACAGCACCGGCAGGCAGGAGCTGAGGGGGAGGGAATAGGAGAGGTCTTGAGAGGATGTGTTAACTATGTCAGGATAAGGTTCAAAGCAGATGGTTCCAGGGGGTGGGATGGGACTGTAAGAAGGTGGTTTATGGAAGACACATAGAAGTCTCCACTAGAGAGAGCCAGTGTTCAGATACTTGTGATAACTGAGGATATTCATTAGCAAAGACAGAACCACAGGGAGCGCTAGGTAGATGAATAGACCTTTATGTCCCTTTTGAGGGCAATGGTGGTTCAGTGGTAGAATTCTTGCTTTCTATGCTGGAGACTTGGGTTTGATTCCCAGCCAATGTATCTCAAGTGCATTCACCACCTGACTGTCAGTAGAGGCTCGCATGTTGCTGTAATACTGAACAGATTTCAGCAGAGCTTCCAGAATAAGACATACTAGGAAGAAAGGCCTGGTGATCTTATTTTCAAAAACTACTCATTATAACCCTGTGGATCACAACAGTCAGATCCCATTGTGCATGGGGTCACCATGAGTTGGGGCTCAACCTGATGGCAAGCTAACAACAGCAACAACACGCACCTATTTTAGTCCCTGGCATATCACTGATACGCTGATAAAGCAAAATGAAATGTATTTAAATTCCCTGCAGTAAGGCAGAACACCACTGTGACAGAGTATTAGAAGTGTCTCAGGAGAGAAAAGGTAGAAGTGGGAGTTGAAGTTCTACTAGTTCATGTAGGTCTTTTAAGGCAGGGAACTGACTGGGATTGGACAAAATTTATTGTATGATTGATGAGAACAGCAAATCAAGGGCCCTGACATGAGTCTCTTGGTTAATTAGGGAACTATTTATCCAGGTCTGCAGAGTACTGTCTCCAGTAAATTAATCTATAGGAATTTCCTGAAGCATACAGTGAGATCACTCATTGGTTTAATCTTAACTTTTTCCAGTAAACTTTTTTTGAAACAAACAACAAAATCATGTTGAAATAGCTGGTCTAAGGCATTGTGCTGACATAGACGGACCCAGTTGCTATTTCCTTTCCTCCCTTGCTTTCTCTGTGGCTCAACACAGGAGAAGACAGTGAATTGATAGAAGACAAGGTAGAGTAAGGACATAGAATAAACAGATCATGCTTTCATACCCACTGGTGGCCAGCGGAATCACAGGATAGGCTGAACTGAGAGAAAAGGAAGAAACTTTGATTTGGATGTAGAGTTGATTTTCGATTTATATTGGACTTATTACTGACGAGGAATAAAACTGTTTCTTAATATCTTAATGTGATCATGGATCTGCCCATGGTATTGTTCAGTGACTTGGGAAGTTAGTGCCCTCAGATCAAATGTGAAGGTCAGTGGTGTCAGAAAAGTAAAGCAATTTCCTAATTGTGCCCTACTAGGTCAATTATGGAGCCCTGATGGCACAGTGGTTAAGAGCTTGGCTGCTAACAAAAGGTCAGCAGTTCAAATCTACCAGGCACTCCTTGCAAACCCTATGGGGCAATTCTACTCTGTCCTACAGGGTTGCTATGAGTCAGAATCGATTTGACGGCAATGGGTTTGGATTTTTGGGGGGCTCAGTTATACTTTTAATAAAAGATGACTATCTAATACGTCTCAATTCTCATATTCAGTTTTAAAATGAGACTTTCACTTAATAGGCATCTCACATATAGAATAACTTTTTGGTCAAAGTAAAGAAAATAAAGTATATTGAATTTAATTCACAGAAAATTAGATGTCATTTATCATTTTACCATTGTCTATTACTCTTTTGGCTTCTTTAAAATCAGAGAAAAAGTTATGGACATGGCATCCGTGAAAATATGCCTCCCAGGTCTCCTACTGCAGAGAGCAAAATTGACTGACAGCTCCATGTGCCAGCCTCTGAATCTGCCACCATGTTTGTGCCAAGGTCATGCTTCTCATGGCATGTTCTTGGCAGGTGTCCAAGCTCAGCAGAAATACTAAGGTAGGCCCATTCCTATGGCCCATGGAATTTCTCTCGTGAGTGACTTTGACCAGAGGTCTACCCATCAACACTGCAAGGCATTCTTAGAACCTCCTCACAGTCTAAGATTCTTCTAGCCCAACCTTCTTTTCTTCCCTTTCTCCTTCATTCCAATCAGACCTGCACTGCAGTCCGATGGCTCTCCCAGACTTCTCCAGCTTCATCCTCATTTTCCCTTCACAAGTGGTTTCCCCAATAAATACCTTTCAAGTCGAATCCCATCTTGGTAGCTGCTTCTCAAAGGACTATAACTAACAGTAAGATTTTTTTTAATCAGTAAGATTTTTTTTCTTTTTATGTGAAGTGGTAACTTCTTCTGTTTTCAATAATGAATTTTATATGTTTTTCACCCCACCACGGATTCTTTTGGAAGCTCCTCTCTTTTGCGTTCCTATTGGACCTTGTGTTTTTATCCCCGCTATTAACCCTGGTGGTGTAGTGGTTAAGAGTTATGGCTGCTAACCAAAAGGTCGGCAATTCAAATCCAACAGGCACTGCTTGGAAAACCTATGGAGCAGTTCTACTCTGTCCTAAAGTAAAGGGTCGCTTTGAGTTGGAATCGACTCGACATGGCAATGGTTTTTTTTTTTTTTTTTTTTTTTAATTATACTTGATACATGACAGTAAGTTAGAATTGTATTTGTACGAGCTCCTTGAGGGCAGATAATCTGTGTCTTTGTTTAGCACAATGCCTGGTATATTACAGAAACTTAACAAATGTTTGTTCAGTAAATGCCTGATTGAATAAACAAAATTTTCTGATGCAATTAACTGAACAAATGCACCAAAGAGGGGATGTAAAACTTTTGCAACTTGAGATGTCATATATTTCAACTCTTCTCTAAACTCCCTGTTTTCTGTCCAGGAAAACATTAAAGAAACTCATGAAACAAGGAAAACTTTGTTTTGTCTACCTAATGAAGTTGGTTGAAAGTAGAGGATACATTCACGAAATGTGCCATATTAATAAAGCAGAAAAATAAGTTTATTTAAAATACTGTATCTATTTGAAATAAACCTAAGTGAAAAAGTGCTAGAAAAATCATAAGAGCAAAACCAGAAAGACGGTAAAGGAAGTGATTCCGATCTTTGGTATAAGAATTAAAATTCAAGAGGTATCTCACAGATCAGATTGACGAAAGTTCACAGGTCAAGGTTACTATGTCCAGAATAAATCATATACTTGTCCATAGTAAGTCATATACAGAAGGACTTGGTGTTGAGTCTTGGTGATACAGATGGTCATCAGTCACAGATACTGGCCAGGTTGAGTGTTGAAGATTCTTAAAGTGTGTAGAGATGATCATGAGAGAATGGGGGATATTCAGTAAGCTGATCCAAAAAAGCGAGATCCAAAGGCTGGTTGGTAACAAGTTGACTGGTGACTCCTGGAAGAAAAGTAAGTAGGGCGGAAGAAGCTGGACCCACAGCCCAGAGATTGGAAGCCAGTGCTTCCATAGCCAAAAGATCCAAAGCCGATGTTTCCAAATCCCAGAGATTCAGTGAAATTTGTCTGGCAGGGACTGCAGAGGATGAGATTCTTTGGGTGATAGCAGGACGTCTGGAAGGATCTGCCCACAAAACCGGGTCTTTGGAAGCTGGGGAGCTCACAGAAGTTCTCCTGAGAGAGATTATAGTTAGAAGATCCCACCTGGAAGGTTCTGGGAGAGTAGACTACATTGTTGGGGTAGAAAGCATTATAGGTGGGAACTTGGTACCCCAGGTAACCTCCAAGAGAGCAAGAAGAGAAGTTTCCAGAGCTGCAATTGTAAGACATGTTGTCAGGAGGTCTGAGTGGAGCTGAGTTTCAGTGACCAGTTTGTGTTTGAATGTTACCTTCTACACTGGGCACTTATACACCTTACCTAGCCAAGGAAGTAGTAGGATGTGCCCATTTTAATGAGAGTATTTAATTAGGCTCCAGTCAAAATGACATACATTGATCTTCAAAGCCCTTTTTATGAATGAAAATTTTGAATGAAAGAATTTCATCAATTTTTCAAAGGAACTTATCATGAAACGAAAATGTCATTTCTCGTTCATCTGGCTTGGAGAATGAATGAATACACCATAATTGTAACTATGAGATTGATGTCTTATTCTTCCTGTCCGTCAAGATGTTAGACTGAATGAGTAACATAGAAGGAATTGTGTTGGGTTTAAAGCTCTAAAAAATAATTTTCAGTCTGGAGGGGACATTTATTTCTCTCCAATTTAAGAAACCTATTAAGAACAGAAAATAAGTTCTGGGATATTCATTCCTTCTCCCAAATCTTGTGGACCTTATAGAAACAACAATTCAATTAACAACCCTTAATTGGTAGAAATGCTAAATGACTGCATTCCTAACACATTTAGATTTTGGTTTTCTTACAGCATGAGTAGCCAAACCATTCCTGTGTGCGTGATTTGCAAGGAAGGTTCTAATATTTGAAAGAGTGCTTTGGTGATTACATTTTAAGAATATTTGCATCAAGGATTCCCTTGTTCTGAAGCTGGCTTGTCTCTTGATAGAAATACCAAAAAACCAAACTTTGCTGTCAAGTCGGTTCAATAGATTTAATTATCAAAAATCCTCCCTTCCCATAAAGCCTAGGTAATTTTTGGTGGTGTTGATGTTGGTTATTGAGAACAAAATGATATACATGAAAAATAGGTCTTTATTCCTTTACTTCCTTTCCTCTCATAGGACAAGATTTTTACTACAGAATGTAAAGAAAAAAAAAGAAATAAGGGAAGTACCTATTCCATGTAGACTTCACCTAATAATCAAGGATCTGAAAAATTTATAGTTACAAATGTCTTTATTTAAATTCAAATATGGGAGAAAGGTTATCAAAAGAGATAACATTATTCAGTCACAAAAGGATATATATTATATGATATCACTTATATGAACTAAGCAAATATATAGAAACCAAAAGCAATTAGTGGTACGAGGGGCTAGAGGGAAGAGGAAAGAAGGAGTTTTTGCTTACAGTGCACTGAATACATGTTAATGGTGGTGAGATAATTCGGAAAATAGCTGGGATGATTGCACCACTTGAAGAATGTAATCAATGTCATTGAATGGTATATGTAGAAACTGATGAATTGCTGCATGTCTTGTTGGGGGTATAGCAATATTATATATATGGATGTGTATATATATATATGAAAAAAGTAAACAACTCCATAAAAGCGGACAAAGCATGAACAAGCAGTCTATGGAAAAAAGAAAAACAAACAACGATACCAAAAAACCCAAACCCGTTGCTATCGAGTTGATTCCCACTCACAGCAACCCTACAGGACAGAGTACAACGACCCCATAGGGTTTGCAAGGCTCTAATCTTCATGGAAGCAGACTGCCATATCTTTCTCCTGTGGAGACACTGGTGGGTTCAAACCACGAACCTTTCAGCTAGAAGCCAGGGTTCCTTCAAAAATAGCTATAAACATATAAAATATACTCAACTTTGTTAATAAATAAATGCAAATCAAAAATAATAATAAAAAAAGAGATGATATTGTGAAGTAGAGAATGAATGCATTTTGGGAGCTCTGATATAGCACGAGTATCAGGTGACATAGTCTGTCTCGGAGGATAGCGTCATGAGGATTTTTCTGGACGCCCCTGTAAAGTTCGCCTTAACAAACTGTAGATAGAGGTAGTGCATGGATGCAGGAAATGGCTTAAAATTACCTGTGGAAATCGGCAATACTCTTATGAGAGTCATTTTAAAAAAAGTTATATTGTCCAATGGAGATGGGCTGAGACTCGTGCTATGAAGAAGTGGTATTCCTAGGTGGAAGATTCAGCTAAAAATCCGAAGTGGGCTACCTTTGTAGGTAACGAGCTTTCCATCTAAATGGAATATCTAATCAGTATGCTGTAAATGGGAACCCGATCTGGTAGAGAACTGGAGATTATTGCTGAGTCTCCTTCCCAATTGTAGACTTTAGGAGTCTGAACACTCTGAGTAGACAAACTGATCTTCAATCTTGTTTTATTTACTAACAAACACGGTTATGTCCTCTGTTTCTAAAATAAGCAATTCTTATTTACTAGGCTTCTTAATTATGAATATCCAAAAGCATTCTAGGGGACTCCAAAACCTCCTGTTTTATTGATCAACAAAATATTGAACATCAAGTATTTCATATAAATATTTAATTCACCTAAATTGAATTTGCTCGCTTGTTTCAATATCATCCATTCTTATGGAAGCTATTTCTGGGAAATAATATTCTATGAGCTCAGATAGAAGTCATTTTAGCATTCTTTTTTTTCAACAAAAATGCATGTTCTTGCACCTAAACACTTTTGTTGAAAAGTTGTTAAGAAATACATTTCTAGGAAAGGAACAGATCAAACAGCATAGAAGCCGCAATAGAACAAGGCTTCTCAGTCTTTCCTCCTCCTCCAAGTATCAGTCTTTGTTACTCTGCCGCAGAAAGGTGAAATACAAGTCATTGAACAAGAAAAAATATTATCTATTATTTTCCCAGCTTTGTAATTCTCACCAGAAACACCTGAAACCATGTAAGTGACTGATGTTGTTTTCTAAGGAAGGGAAGACTCTCCTTCAGATGGCTACTCTGGCCCAGCACCTCAAAGCGATTACCTGATAAATTTCCCTTTGAATAAGAACGTTTTCCAGATTATGGCGGATCTTTTTAGCGATAAATATTGACTCTGGTTAGGATTTGGAATACACTGGGTGTTCTTCCATAGGTTTTGTTGGTATTTTTAAAGCTTTTCATCATCTTAGCTGAATAATCTCCAGTGTTCCAAAACAGAATAAAGCATTTTATAATATCAAACTCATACACACATTAAGAAAAACGAAAGAAAGAAAGAAAGGCTAAGACTGGGTCAATAATTTGCATATAGCTTTAAGTAGGAAAACAAGAAGGAAGGGAAACTCTAGTTAATATTTCACTATTCATTCTGATTGAAGTGTGATCAAAGGGTGTCATGAATTGAATTACGTCCTCCAAAAAAATATGTGTATCAATTTGGCTGGGCCATGATTCCCAGAATTGTGTGGTTGGCCTCCATTTTGTGATTGTAATTTTATGTTAGAGAGGATTAGGGCGGGATTGTTAACACCACCCTTACCCAGGTCACATCCTTGATCCAATGTAAAGGGAGTTTCCCTGGGGTGTGACCTGCACCACCTTTTATCTCTCAAGAGATAAAAGGAAAGGGAAGCAAGCAGATAGATGGAGACCTCATACCATCAAGAAAGCAGTGCCAGGAGCAAAGCACATCCTTTGGACTGGGTTCCCTGTGTGGAGAAGCTCCTAGTCCAGGGGAACACTGATGAGAAGGCCGAGAGAGAAAGCCTTCCCCTGGAGCTGACGCCCTAAATTTGGACTCTTAGCCTACTTTACTGTGAAGAAATAAATTTCTCTTTGTTAAAACCATCCACCTGTGGTATTTGTGTTATAGCAGTGCTAGATGACTAAGACAGAGGGGAAAAAAAAGAAACCCTAATACACATTGCACACTACGTGCTTTTTCAGTGATGTTCGGTATTCATTAGGTAAGCTTGACACTTTCGTGCCAATACCGAAGGGATGTTTTTGTTTGAAAGAAATGCCTATGAATATATCAGTTAGCAACTTTGCTATCCAGATGGCAACAATTTTAAGACAGATTGTGAAAGGGACATCAATTATTTTTAGTTAAGTCAGCTTTCCTCAGCCCAGACCCTGTTTACCTGTAAAGCAGCTCTGAGTGATCTGCGGGGTGACTTTTGTAAATGAGGCCTACTAATAGCTGTGAACATTCAATGCTGTTACGTGAATTCCAAGGCAGAAACATTACTGCCCTTTCCCGGTGTAAAACAACACAAACTACGTATGTATGACTGTGATGATCTTTTCAGTTCAATTAAAATGAAGGCAAGGAAAAGATCATCACAGTCCTATATACGTAGTTCAATTAAAATGAAGGCAAGGAAAAGATCATCACAGTCATACATACGTAGTTCAATTAAAATGAAGGCAAGCTATTTTTACTGTATCCTGTGGGTGACCCACCCAATGATAAGTGTATATAAATACTCTAGTTCAAGAAAGGACATTCAAACTCAGAATCTTGCCATTCTAACTCACATCTCCTGTCACCATGTCCTGCAACTTCTGCTCTGGAAACTTCTCCTCTAGCTCTCTGGGCAGCTTTCTGTGCTACCCAGGCTCCTCCTGTGGCTCTTCCTCCCCCATCTGCCTGGTCTACAGCACTGGTCTCTTTGCTCCCAGCACCTTCCAGTTGGGCTCCTCTCTCTACATGGGCTGTCAGGAGATCAGCGGTGAGCCCCGCAGTTACCAGAGGTCCTATGTGGTGTCCAGCCCCTGCCAGTCGCCCTGCTACTGCCCGAGGACCTCCACGCTCTGCAGTCTCTGCCAGAGGACTTACACTGGGGTCTCTGGGCTTTGGCTCCAGTAGCTTTCAATCTTTTGGTTGTGGCTCCCCATCCATGGGCGTTGGATCCAGTGGTTTCCAATCAGCGGGCAGTGCAACCAACACTTTCTCATCCCTAAGCTACAGATCTAGCTGTTGCCCACCAACCTACTTCTCTTCTAGAAGCTGTCAGTCTGCTTCTTGCCAGTCAGCCTGTGGATCTAGATTCTATTAATCATCTGTTCAAGGAGCCAGAAATTTAAACCCAATACCTGCTATTCACGATACATACTACGTCTTGGGGGGACATCTAGCTCAATTGGCATAACACAGTCTATAAAGAAAATGTTCTACATTAAGAAAAACAAGATACACACTATCAATTT